TCATACCTCAATCCCGTAACCAAACAAAATTCAGCAATTGAAAAACGAATATATCTCCCATTTACATTAAACCACATCTTCTGATTGTTTGGTTGCTTGACCTCCCGTAGTAAAACTTGGTGAATCAATTGTGGCTGCACGACTATCTCTCTACAATGCATGTAGTAGGAAAAACATGTATTTTCTAGAATTGCCCTTTTGGCAGCCTTAAATTTCATCACAAAGTGCTTAATCACACTCTGTATTTGCGTTGTGGTCATTTTTCCAGAAAACCAATTCCTTGGTTTTATTAAGTATTTCCAGTCCTGCATAATCGTAAAATAAAAAATGTTACTCTGACCTTCAACACACAAACATTTCACTGTGACCAACTCATAAATAGTTGGTCACAAATTTCTAAAATCATAACACAAAGAAGTAAAGAGTCACAACACCTATTTCATTCGCAAACAATCCAGCACTCCTTTAAAAAACACATTCGATTAGAATAAATAGTAATTGATCACATAGTACAAATTACGAAATACATAAAACAGGTCACAAATGATATTTCCTACACAAAATACCCACATCAGGTCACAAAATACTCAAATAATAGGTCACAAATTTCAGAAATTAGGTCACAAAATCGAAGTTAACCTTTTTCATGGGTTTCCTGCCAGATCATAAAATAGTTGGTCACAAATTTTCCAAAATCATAACACAAACAAGTAGAAAGTCACAATCACGCAATACATAAAATAAGTCACAAAACCTTCAAATTACAAAATACCTAAAACAGGTCACAAAATTATATTTCCGATGCAGAATACCCAAATCAAATCACAAACTACTCAAATAATAGGTCACAAAATCGGAGTTCACCTTCTTCATGGGTTTTCCGCCAGAGGATGACATTTTAACTCTCTTTGCTGAAGAAGAATCTCTTTCAACATATTTCCTCTTTTCTTTATCCTTCTCCATCATTTTCGCACCAACACTACGAGTTTTTGCCATTCCAAACACAACTATTGTTGAAACTAAAATTTAATAAACTATTGTGCGGTTCGTAGTAGTGGAGAAACGGAGTGGGAGGTTACTTTACTGTATTAGTGAGAGAGAGAGAGAGAGAGAGAGAGAGCAACGTCGTTGCCGTATTCTCGGTAGAGATAGAGAGAAGAAGAGAGAGAAGAACGTGGTTTTTGCACTGCATTGTAGAGAGAGAGAGAGAAAGACGGTTTATGGTAAAACGCGAAGGACGTGGGTTGAATGATCAGTGATTACGTGCAGAAGTAATATGAAAATTGTGTGATTCAGATATAGAGGGTCCATATTTCATCACGTAAATGAACAATTAGTTTATAATTATTATTAATTTTAAAATAAATAATTAACACCTGATTTTAGAAAATTAAACCTAATCACCCTAGTTTTGAAATATAAAGTTTATAAGTATGATTTTGCGTTATTTTTCCTTTAATTTTTCAATCCTGTCCTTATAGCCCATAAAGTTAAAACGGTGTGGATTTTTGATCATAGCTTAGGGATCTGGACTTCACTTAGCAAACATGCCCAACACCTACAGAACAGTACTTTGCCAGGTCCGTTTCAATAGAGCACTGAAGTTTTGTATACATCAATACTTTGTTCTTATTTTCTGCGTTTTACTGGGAAGGAACAAACTTTGCAGGGGCAAAATATTGAACAGCACAGAAAAGCCCTGCCAATTTAATTGTTCTTTTGCCTTTTTTGCTTGCAACAATGTTGTTGATTTTACTGTCTGGCTATAAGGTTCCGAGCTGTACTCATATTGTTTTGCCTTTTGTTTTTAATTTTTGGACGGAGTTTCAACCATTATTTGGATGGTTACTGGAGCTTTATATTTGAATTATATTGGCCGATTGGGTTGAAGATTGATAATGGTTGAAAATAATTAACAAAAAATAGAAAATTTTGCGTGTTGTCAATCAAAAAGATCTTGAACAAGTTTGCTCTTTTGAATTTTCTCCTATTAAGGTAAGAACTCTTAGGGTCAAAAAGTTGGTTTTGTCTGTGCTGAAAGGACGGGAAAAAAAATTAATAAATCATCTGGAAGTAATGCGATTCAGAAAATACAATATATGGGAAGTAATTCGACAGTTATCTTATATTTGGCGGGTATGGAAGCTTTGTAGAGTCAATGTTAAGAATTATGAGATACATGTCTGGATAATAGAAGGCAGCTTAGAATGAGGCACAATGAGTTGGAGGCATAGAATCCAGAATGTCCCTTCTCTTATGATAAAAGAAAAGGCAGCTAGGGGATCATTGATCTTTTCTAGACGTAAATAGTTTTATCCTCATCAAATCTGCACCTATCAAGGTTTAAGCATTATATTTGTTATTTTTATTTATGAAAAGACAGTTCTAGGAAGTTTCTTTCTAGTTATTATGTTTCATGTATATTGCTTTTATATATTTGTAATCTCGTTTTTTAAGAAGAGTGCCACTGCAGGTTGACTTGCATTATTTGAACATCCATCTAACACAGTTGCAATTCGAATTTTTTGAGTTTATTGTCATCACATTGGGTTTTATTGTTTAAGAATCTAAAAGGTTGTTCAGAAGCATTATGTTTTTTATTTTTGAAATTTAAGTTGACTTGACAATTATACAAATATAGAACTACAGGATTATCATTTTTTTTGCTTCCGTCATTTCATTTTGATATTGTCTTCACTTTGTGATTTCCATGCTGACTTGTCTCTTATTTAAATATTTACATATTTCCAGTTGAAAAAGTACTTTTGGTTTTTGGAGGAGGTAAGGAATAATGACACACTAATAATTGTTGGTGAAACAGGCAGCGGAAAGACGACATGTAAGTATTTTAAGCCTTTAAGATCTAGCTGAAATTTTAGGTCTCTATGGTTGAAGTCCAATATCTACTTCAGTCTAGATTGTCTTTCATAGTAAGTTGTGTACCAATTTCCTGGATATAGTAGTGCTCAACAATTTGATTCATTTGGTGAAAAGTTTATTACTTTTTACTGATAGACAGATAGATGTAGATTGGATGTGCACTCCAAAGTTTCTTATAATATCACTTTTAGTTATCAAAAAAGTGAAAGAAAAGTGTTAAAAACTTTTACCATAATTGAACCATATGTATGATACCGTGATATAAGGACTACAGACCACGATTGGAAGATTTGTAAAAATTATCATCACAAAAGGAGTGTGAGGAGCAAAGTATAGGAATTAGAAGAGGGAAATATTAGAATGTTGTTATGATCCATAATCTATCTTCAAATTAGTCTTGGTTTATGCCTTGCTTCTTCCCGCCCAGAATCCATTGCATTCCCTTAAATTTCCCCCAAAAGAATGAAATGGGCTGGAACTAGATATTGGAATGCTGGGCAAGAAAACAGTTTCTCGTGTTCTGTTTTATCTTTTAAGTAAGCTCATGTCAGGAATAGATTTGAGACCCCTTAATAATTTCTGCAACCATGTAGACTACATACATGTATGTAGTTTGTTTTCAGATTAATGTTGACTCAATACTTAGACTTTAGGACTTAATTCTCTTTATTACGACTTTGCTTGACTCATGATCAAATTACTTCACTTTTGATGTTTATTCTTCATCTCGAACTTATATGTGAAAATATGAACATCATTTCAGAATTGCCCCAGTATCTTAATAATGGTCGGTTTTGCTGCAATGGTGGGATCATTGGGATAACTCGGCCTAGACGTGTTGCTGCTGTAACTGTTGTAAAACGGGTCGCTGAAGAATGTGGAGTTTCAATGGTCCAAGTAGTTGGATATGCCATTAGATTTGAGGATGTGACTTCCAGCTCAACAAGGATCAAATACATGACAGACGGATTGCTATTCAGGTGGAAATTATTTGTGTTTTTATGTTTTTTTCTTTTTATTCAGACTTTATTAGCTAAAAAGTTGAAAGTATTGGTAGTTTTTTATGTCTTTGAATTTACATTTGCAGATGTAAATTGGATGTATAGAGCATGTGCTAACAGTCTATTTTAAAATATTGTTATTCATTCAGCAATACTACATGTTACTGATTGGAGCTAAGTGTCCTTAAAAGAGTATCCTTTAATCAACTAACAAATTATGTCTCAATATGTTTACTGGGAAGCATTACTGGATCTGTATCTCTCCTAGTATTCTGTTATTATCGTTGGTGAGGCTTATGAGAGAACCGTCCACACTGATGTATTGCTTGGCTTGTTGAAGACTGTACAAAAGACGAGGTCTCAACATGTCAGGGACGCAGTAAATATTGATCATAAAGATGCCAACAATGGCATGATGTTGGAAAAACACCATGGTCTCGAAGTTGCCAGTATCAGGGAGCAGTGCTGAGGCAAGAAATTATCTCCACTGAAGATTATTATTATGTCTGCCAGTCTGGATGCACGGGTTTTCCTGAGTACTTTGGTGGTGCAAGAGCTGTGCACGTGCAGGGTGGCAAGATCCTGTTGATATACTCTATACTCGTAAACCTGAGACTGATTATGTGGATGCAACTTTGATCACCATATTTCAGGTTTTTACTCTTATTTGTGTCTTGATTGCATATTAAATTGTTAGATTTTATGCGCAACATTAAAGAGATGAAAAGAAAATCAACACAAGAATTTTTATGTCGTTCGGCGATGTACCTACGTTCACGAGAGCGAGACGGAGATTATTTTATTCAGTAGTGAAAAATAGGGTTATAACATATTATTTATACTAATCCTAACCTCGGCCCAAATAAGACTTCAAGCCTGTACAAGAAATACCCCTGTACCGTATCGCGGGGGCGTTGCCCCTGCACCCCCAACCCATTCATCATCCCTAACAATCAAATAGTGAATTAAACCCACACAAGGCCGATGCCATCGCTTTGTTCTGTTCGATACACTTCGCTCCAGCATCGGCCCATTTGATCCAGGACTTGTGTTCCATTCTATACGAGCCACATGCATAACATAAAACTTATCTAATATGACTTTTGGAAACATTTAAACGAACGCGACAGTTTTGCTAAGTTTGATCTTTTAGACTGAGTCGAATTACAGAATGGAGCAGTGGCTATATTTCCATAGAACTTCAAATTGAGTAATCTTTTGTATATTGGTTTCCTACATAGACCTTTTGTTTCTGAAATAATGTACTAGAGTTAACACAAAGCTAAACGTAAAAATTAGCAAACTTTATTTTTTATTTTTATTGTTATATTTACTTTCTTTAACCATAGGATTGTATTTATATTTTATTTTAAAGGGCTTTTGGAGGGATTTAAAAGGGTAACAATATTGAGAATTCATAAAATTTTATTTCTTAGCTCACCTAGAGAAAAGATTGAAAGTAAATACAACCTAGAAGGGAATATTTAATAATCAGATTAATTGGATTATAGATTGCATGTATTTCCCTCTCCGATTGCATTGTTTTGAACTTTTTATCTGATTTAATTTAAAGCATGTGATGGTCTCTTTTTTGCCCATTTTGCTTCTTCCCGCCCAGAATCCATTGCATTCCCTTAAATTTCCCCCAAAAGAATGAAATGGGCTGGAACTAGATATTGGAATGCTGGGCAAGAAAACAGTTTCTCGTGTTCTGTTTTATCTTTTAAGTAAGCTCATGTCAGGAATAGATTTGAGACCCCTTAATAATTTCTGCAACCATGTAGACTACATACATGTATGTAGTTTGTTTTCAGATTAATGTTGACTCAATACTTAGACTTTAGGACTTAATTCTCTTTATTACGACTTTGCTTGACTCATGATCAAATTACTTCACTTTTGATGTTTATTCTTCATCTCGAACTTATATGTGAAAATATGAACATCATTTCAGAATTGCCCCAGTATCTTAATAATGGTCGGTTTTGCTGCAATGGTGGGATCATTGGGATAACTCGGCCTAGACGTGTTGCTGCTGTAACTGTTGTAAAACGGGTCGCTGAAGAATGTGGAGTTTCAATGGTCCAAGTAGTTGGATATGCCATTAGATTTGAGGATGTGACTTCCAGCTCAACAAGGATCAAATACATGACAGACGGATTGCTATTCAGGTGGAAATTATTTGTGTTTTTATGTTTTTTTCTTTTTATTCAGACTTTATTAGCTAAAAAGTTGAAAGTATTGGTAGTTTTTTATGTCTTTGAATTTACATTTGCAGATGTAAATTGGATGTATAGAGCATGTGCTAACAGTCTATTTTAAAATATTGTTATTCATTCAGCAATACTACATGTTACTGATTGGAGCTAAGTGTCCTTAAAAGAGTATCCTTTAATCAACTAACAAATTATGTCTCAATATGTTTACTGGGAAGCATTACTGGATCTGTATCTCTCCTAGTATTCTGTTATTATCGTTGGTGAGGCTTATGAGAGAACCGTCCACACTGATGTATTGCTTGGCTTGTTGAAGACTGTACAAAAGACGAGGTCTCAACATGTCAGGGACGCAGTAAATATTGATCATAAAGATGCCAACAATGGCATGATGTTGGAAAAACACCATGGTCTCGAAGTTGCCAGTATCAGGGAGCAGTGCCGAGGCAAGAAATTATCTCCACTGAAGATTATTATTATGTCTGCCAGTCTGGATGCACGGGTTTTCCTGAGTACTTTGGTGGTGCAAGAGCTGTGCACGTGCAGGGTGGCAAGATCCTGTTGATATACTCTATACTCGTAAACCTGAGACTGATTATGTGGATGCAACTTTGATCACCATATTTCAGGTTTTTACTCTTATTTGTGTCTTGATTGCATATTAAATTGTTAGATTTTATGCGCAACATTAAAGAGATGAAAAGAAAATCAACACAAGAATTTTTATGTCGTTCGGCGATGTACCTACGTTCACGAGAGCGAAATGGAGATTATTTTATTCAGTAGTGAAAAATAGGGTTATAACATATTATTTATACTAATCCTAACCTCGGCCCAAATAAGACTTCAAGCCTGTACAAGAAACACCCCTGTACCGTATCGCGGGGGCGTTGCCCCTGCACCCCCAACCCATTCATCATCCCTAACAATCAAATAGTGAATTAAACCCACACAAGGCCGATGCCATCGCTTTGTTCTGTTCGATACACTTCGCTCCAGCATCGGCCCATTTGATCCAGGACTTGTGTTCCATTCTATACGAGCCACATGCATAACATAAAACTTATCTAATATGACTTTTGGAAACATTTAAACGAACGCGACAGTTTTGCTAAGTTTGATCTTTTAGACTGAGTCGAATTACAGAATGGAGCAGTGGCTATATTTCCATAGAACTTCAAATTGAGTAATCTTTTGTATATTGGTTTCCTACATAGACCTTTTGTTTCTGAAATAATGTACTAGAGTTAACACAAAGCTAAACGTAAAAATTAGCAAACTTTATTTTTTATTTTTATTGTTATATTTACTTTCTTTAACCATAGGATTGTATTTATATTTTATTTTAAAGGGCTTTTGGAGGGATTTAAAAGGGTAACAATATTGAGAATTCATAAAATTTTATTTCTTAGCTCACCTAGAGAAAAGATTGAAAGTAAATACAACCTAGAAGGGAATATTTAATAATCAGATTAATTGGATTATAGATTGCATGTATTTCCCTCTCCGATTGCATTGTTTTGAACTTTTTATCTGATTTAATTTAAAGCATGTGATGGTCTCTTTTTTGCCCATTGTTATCATCAAATCATAGTAACACATATTTTTGTTTCTTCAGATAATTGATAATTTAAAATTTTTTATTCTTCTACATTTTGATTCATTATTGTAGTTTTCCAATTAGTTCAAGTTAATTGCAAGAGAAGTTTTTTTGGAACTAGAGTAAATTCCTACTTTCCTCCCCTCCTCCCATATGTAAGAGATATTCAGTGTATTGTGCATTTTTTACTTTTTCTTTCCAATATCTCGCATTTTCATGTAAATTTTAGTTTAGCTTCAAAATATTGTTATTCTCCCATATGATGGTGGTGGTCTCAATTTTTCTTCAAAATCACGCTCAGCAGTTTTTTATTTTTTTGTGCACTGAAGTATTTTCTCGTTGAGGATTTTTGAATCGTTCCCACAATTTTCTTGCAACTCTTGTCTATCATGGTTGGTCTCTTTGATTGGCTTTGTTTCAACCTTATGTTTGTTGTATTTGTCTTTCAGATACATTTGGAGGAAGGTCCTGGCGATATACTTGTGTTCTTGACTGGCCAAGAAGAAATAGAATCTGTGGAGAGGCTTGTACATGAGTGTCTTCCACAATTATCCGGATGCAAACGAAAGCTTTTGACCTTTCCAATATTTTCGTCTCTTCCTTCAGAGAAACAAATGAGAGTTTTCAAGCCTGCCCTAGTTGGGTTCCAAAAGGTAGTTATTTTCTTCTGACAAGATATTCTATGCAAGTTTCTTGGCTTGAAACATTAATGTGGACATATAAGCATTGAAAATCGCCTTTTGTTACTTGTCATCTTAAGAGAAAAAAAATACATTAAACTTTTATGAGATGTTGATTGGACAAGACAAATGCAACCTCTTTGTTGAAATTGTGCCCACGACTGTTATATGTAGTATTATAATAAATGTAGACGTTTAAGTACCCAGCAACTATACTAAAAGTATGGTAGGCAAGACGAGCATCATTTAGAATATTTTCTTTTACAGGAACTGTCCAGTTTTTGTTGTTCATGAACATTCTCATGGGACAAATACTATACAGGAAAAAGGTTTCTCGATTTTGTCAGGAAGTGTTGAGTGTTGTCGTCCACCTATACAT